TCATCTTTTCTTGTTTTGGGAATCCTAGTGGACCTTATTTTGTAACTCTAACTTCTGCCTAGGCTACCCTTTATTGTTGTTCGGGTTTCTTAGTGGGTCAACCCTAATTTTTGCGAAGCCCCCTTGGTGGGTTTCCTACCAGGTAATTTGCCCTTTTATTTTTGCCTTTAACTTCTATGGGCTTCTTTTGAATTTTTTTTTTTTTTTTTTTTACACAACATTGGCGAAACACGACTTTATTTATGACGAGGTAAAACCTTATTTTGTGTTTCTAGTCAATTAGTGATGATGAGTGGTTTGATTATTTTGATGATGGCGCATTTTGATTATTTTGACGCACTTTTAGAAAATGTTTGCTTGAACATGGTTATTATGAGGTTTAGACATGAATAGCAAGAAGAGAAACAGATAGTAAGAATGACATTCTTTATTAATTAAAAGAGAAATAAGTGTCCTACAATGCTCGGGGGTTGGGCTAACCCCGAGGAGTAATATCTAATAGTAATTGGGTTTACATCCCTTAAAATTGGAAGAAGAACACCTAATGACTAAAGTCGTTCTTGACGCTTGGACCCCTTCGTTTGGGAAAATTTGATTCAAGGTGCAGAGGGGAGACTTCTCTTTTCTCCGTGCAACTTGATCCTTTGTAGGGTCATGCTTCAAAGGATTGTCTTTAAAATCTGGTGGCTCCCTTATTCCTTGAGAGTTTCTAATGAGCCCTTGGTTTGGACGGTATCCATATTTCCTCATCATGTGGGTCACCTTCATATTGTTGGGGAAGTCTTTTCATATTGGCAAAAGGGTATTTCAACGGTCCTCTTCAGCTGCATCCATTCAAGGTAGGGTAGATGACTTGCTGATCTGAATGTCATCTTTAGCTTAACCGTGACCAGCTTGTCGCCTACAGTGAGTTTGTCTCTTTGGCGGAGCATTGAAAGAACTGTCTTAGCGTTGTGAATCCAAAGTCTACTCAATTTACTCTTTGGATAATGTTTTTCTTCAATCTTTTTATTTCTTCCTTTATTCTTAGGAGCGTCATCTTATAGCTCCTTGGGGAAATAAGTTCTTCCATTTCTAATCCTGCCCCCGATACCGGCTATGCTGGAGATATCCTCATTGATGGGCGATGTTTTTGCGTATCTCCATGGTACAACTTTATTCGATTCGAGGCATGAACAAATGTAATGGCATCCTTGTCCCCTCTTCCTTATTAACTTGGATATCCAATGGTTAAGGCTTATTATCCTCTTTAGGCAGATCAACCGTTGGAGAGAACTTGACGACGAAAGGTTTACTCTTCATCTTATTTCGATTCATGGGAAGCACATCAATTAATCCTTTCTTTTTATTATCTTATTATTAGTAAAGTGAGAATGAATGAATACAATTTATGAATGTAATAGACAATTGAAGAGATGATGAAAGCAAATAATTTTATTTATTTCATCTAGACAGTGTACATCCCTCAATGCAATGTTTCAAAGTACATTTTTTTAAAAAGTGGAGCAGCCTAAAGGAACCCATAGGCGGGTTATAATTTCTATGTATTTTCTCTTTTTTTACTTCCCGTGCATGGCATGCAAATGCCCTATCCTCTTTACATGGTATTGAGGAATATTCACTTTCTTCAACTATCTACTACTAGATGCATGTTATGAGGGTGAAGTTTGGTGGATGCATGTATGCAAGTGTTTGTTTTTTCCTAAACATTATCATGTTTTATTTCCTAACATGATGTATGATAATGTTTGGGATGAATGAGGGCATGAAGAATACTAGCCACTTTCTAGAATGCAAAAAGAATTTAAGAACGTTTATTTTTATTTTGAAATGAATGATTAGTGTGGGATAGATGTGCCTTAAGACAATGACTTTGGTATCATCCTTAAAGCTTACGTTTCACGGAGTACCATACCCATTTTGGTATAATGGTTCCTTCCCCATCATGGATTTGACAAGTATAACGAAGGTCACCATATATCTTAGCACACTTGTCCCTTTCTTGTGGAAGATTACAAGCGTACTTGGGTATCTTTCGCCTTTGTCTTAGAGATATCTAATGCCCCCTAGCATGGGTGTGTTTATGCATGCACCAGTACAAAAAGGCGGCAGATGTTCAAAGTGATATAACTTTTGACTAGGGTATCAGATTTGGACGCATAACATATCAAAACGAAAAGAAAAAGGTGTAGAACAGGTGGCAAATACCCATAGGGGATTTGGCCCAACAATTTTCCCAAAAAATGCTCCTAAGACCTATTTTTGAGAGATTTATTAAGATGATGTTTATGCATGTATTTATTATCTCTCATGGTTTTTCCACTTATGAAATGATGCGATATAAATGATACGACTTTGTCAAAAAACTTTTTATTAGATTTCGTTATTTTGTTTTTTATTCGTTTTTTAACCCTTTTACGTTTTCTGTCGGTTCACGTGGCTACTTAGCTTACAAAGAACCTGAAACCAGGCTAGCTAAAATGTGAACTGTCCGAGATAAAAGTGGACTGGTTTTCCAGGTATGATTTTACTGTTAAGCACATTAAATGAAATCTAAACACAATCCTTGACTTTTTGTCCAGACCCAAAAAGACTGTCCAATTAATAGTTGACACCCATAGTCTCCCTCTTATCTTCATGGTCAAACCTCTCTCCAACAAAGCCAAGACCATCAAAGTATATCCACCCGGTTTAAACCCAACTACACCAGCTGATATTCTCCATTATGCTAAAACCCGTTATTTTTACTTTTTACATGAGAGCATGAGATATAAGATAATTTCAGCCTCAATGTTTAACCCTGATATTCCCTTCGGGGGAATTTTGGAACTATTTTGTGAACCCGGTTGGGATCTTTGTGAACTCACACTATGGACCATTTGGTGCGATCCTGTCCAATACTCAATTCCTATCGCACTAAAAACACAAACAACTTACAGTATTTTGACAAATCCATACAAAGACAAGTTCCATTTCTGGACATTACTTGAGTGGTTTTCTCCAATACCCTAGTGGAGACAAAAGCTCAAGGAGATTCTAGATTGTCAAAGACAGAAAGGAGTTATTGAAGACTCTCTCAAGAATTTGACCTCAATTTTCATCATCCACCGTCCATACTTCTTAAATCCAGTAGGACACCTATGGTCAAGAAATGAAGTTTATATTTGGGCCAGCTTTGAAACTTACCCACTTGATAACAGTTACTGTGCACAATTGGTGCATCACCTCTGTGAAGTAAACTATTACCAGCATAAGCCAGTGGACCCCAACATTGCCAGCTCATCCCAGAGACCACTTGATTCATCCCCTATGGATAAGATCATCCCTGAAGAAGACAAATCTCAAGAAATAAGATTTTTCAAATCAAAAGCAGAGATGAACGTTCCTGATGAAACCTTCCAGAAGGTTGAAGATCTGGCAAATAATATCAATGAAGATCTGATGGAAGAAATGATGATGCACAAGATGATGTATCCCTACTGGGACCCGCTACATGGAAGCATGACAAGAAGTGAGGCTCAACAGATGAATTATTCTGGTTTAACCCGATCTGACTAAAGTAAAGGTTTTAGTTAATGACTATCATCATGACATGCTACTAAAGCACGATTCCCTTATCTTTACACGTGTCTATTGCGATTATTGCAAACGTGTTAAGGAAGACATCATTTTCGAATCTTATCTTATCTTTTCTACTTTGTCCATACATATGACTAAAATAAAGTGTGAATCATGTTATTTTGTCCTTTGTAAGGTCATTATGATGTGTGGGTCGTAGTTTCATTATCTTATTTTGGATTCCACCTTGTAACATAAGTTTCAGGTCCGAATTTCATTCTAGTTTAGCAAAGCTTTGGATTCCGGTTTTGCTATAAATAGGGGATGTTTGTAATGTTGTAACTCAGAACACGATAGAGTGAAATCAATACAAGTTCTCTTCCTAAAATGTTATCTCTCTAAGTTTTCTCTTCTCTGGAAGCTTGAAGCTTATAGTTCTTATTATTGTTCTCCACTTAGAAGCAAGTATATTCTACACTTGCCTCGAAAGAGGATCTTGTGTATCAGAAAGCTTCCGATCTATGAAACCATTTTACCGCAAAGTGTTCTTCTTATAGGAAATATGAACTTGAGTAGGCTTTTAGCCAAGGGATGACATCGTTATGCCCGAAGATGTTCATATCGTCTAAATAAGAATGAGTCTTTGTACAATAATTGTATTTAATTATATTACAATACATTAATTAATTAAATTTAATATTTAAAAACTATATAAATTAAGAAATCGTAGATATAAACAAAATAAAAGTTCAAAACTAAGTTTAGAATTAAAACCCGGGGTGCATGAATAATTTTGATTATAAGGTTTTGATCTGAACTCCTAAATCACATAATACAACAAACAAGTATATTTTGTAAAATTTTGATGATGTTTTTAGATGATACTTTTCCAAGAATTAAAAAAATATCTTACACTTTATTTCAACTCATTTTTTAATATTTTCTACTGGTTAAAAAACTTATTTGTTAAATAATTTTGTTGCCTATCCTATCGTATTTACAAATTACTTTTTTAGTTAAAATAAGGTTTTTATTTTTTAATAGCTGATATATAAACAAATTTTATAATAATAAAAATAATTTAAAATTATTATTATATTATTAAATAATGTTGTAGGAAGTATATTTGTTAAAAAGGTGGGATGTGAAAGAATCTTTTTCCTTTTTTAAAACATTCTTTTTTCTTTTTTTTATGTTTGCTCAAATCAAATCTGAAAATGTTTTCTACCGCACCTACCCTCGTCAACGTTCTAGTATTTTTCCATGTCAACAAGATCATTCAGTTCCCACATCCATTCCCAAATTCCAAACCCAAATTACCTAGATCCTCGTTTTGCTTTGTGCCAAATTTACTGCTTCTCCCCAAACTTTATCAATTGGTCATTTCCATCATCCACAAAGGTTTCAGATTTGGCTTTTTATATAACATCACAGTGGAGCAGGGAAGCAAGTGCTCATGGCTACAGTTGCATCAATGCTATCTTCTTCCCCCGCCGGTCAACCCTTTTGCTCCTTCTCAAACCCAAGCCCATCACTCTCTTTCAAAACCATTACCATCACAAGACCAAGACCTAGAACCAGAACGAGAACAAGCTTGGCATGGCTGAATCCTCAACCTCGTGGTGCTTTGGTTGAGGCAACACCACCAAGTCCACCTCCTTCTCCTTCTCCAAGAGATGGATCCATCAAGGTGCTTGCGCTTCCTGAGAACCGTGCTGATGACATTCAAGCTGAGGCCAGAGCCATGGCTCGTGCTGCCAATGCTTCTGAGTACACGCCTCAGCTTTTGGCCTCCAACTATGGCTCTCAACCCATCAAGGTTTTCACATTTTCCTTTTCTGCTTCTCTCAAAGTTTGAGTTTTTTTGGGGTTATCTTTTGTGGGTGTGGTTGGATTTTGTGAATTGATTTTACCCTTTTTCTTTGTAGGTGGTGGGAAGGGCCCTTAAGGTTCTGAGTGCGGTGGGCTTGTTTGGGTTGAAGCTGTTGGTTGACCAGAAAAGTGGGATGCTTGATCAGAATAAAAGGATTCGTGCAATTGAGCTTAGGGACACATTCACTCGGCTGGGACCAACTTTTGTCAAATTGGGTCAGGGGTTGTCTACCAGGCCTGATATATGTCCACCTGAGTATCTGAAGGAGCTCTCCGAACTTCAAGTATTGAATTTTATCTACTCTTTCAGTTATTTATTTGATTGTTGTACTATGGCCTGTTAGGTTTTTCTAGCGAAGCATGCTCTAGGGATTGATTAGCTTGGCATTGAGTGAGAGTTTTCATTGGTTCAGTAAATTATGTTCATATGTAGCATGGAGAATCTTCGCTATTTCATTTGACTTTCTGGTCTCTGCAAATTTGTTCTTTAACCCAAGTGACTGACATTGTGACTGATCTCATTAAGTGGGATAAGGCTATTATTGTATATGGTAATGTATTAACGATAGACAATGTTGATGATATCCAATGAAAAAATTTCACTAATGTAATGGAGTCCCTAGTAGTAGTGAGTTGCGGGCTTTATGTATATTTGTTTGTGCTGTGAAGATGTTTTTGAATAAACTGTTTAATTAGGTTGCCTTGATATTTGTGTGCTTTACCAGGATGGATTGCCAACGTTTCCTGATGAGCAGGCCTTTGATTGCATTGAGAGGGAACTAGGACTTTCTATTGATTCTATTTTTTCTTCTATATCTCCAAGGGCTGTAGCAGCAGCCAGTTTGGGTCAAGTTTATAAAGGCTGTTTGAAATACTCTGGGAAACTTGTTGCTGTTAAGGTGCAACGCCCTGGCATTGAAGAAGCTATAGGATTGGACTTCTACCTAATTAGAGGTTTAGGCTTTCTCATAAATAAATATGTGGACTTTATCACCAGTGATGTTGTTGCACTTATTGATGAATTTGCACGTAGAGTCTTTCAAGAGCTCAACTATGTGCAGGTTATTTCTTATGCCAATATCAAACTTTGTATTTTATTTGAATCCAGGCATGCATGATTCATCTATTACCAATTTTTGCATCATTTTGTTTTTCTCTATGAACACAGTTTTAAATTGTGGCACAGTCATGATTGCAGTTTTGTCACAATCCTTGTTTATTCAGTAATTGCAGTCATGGCGATTCCATAAAAACCTTGACACCATGGTCAAAATCGTGGCTGCAGACCGTTTTTAGAAACCTTGTTTGTGAAAATTAAAGCGAAAATTAACATTGAACCTTTTGCAGCTTTGCCAGAGGCAAAAGGCAAGCATAAAACCATAATATCTTTCTTCAGTTTGTAATTCAAATCTTCCCTAGGGTGATATATATATACACACACACACACACACACACACACACACGTGTGTGTGTCATGTTGTTAACGGACAAAGATACATGTTTGTAAGTTATGTAAGATACTTGTTGGGATTGAATGTTAATTTTGACAGGTTCCTGCAGGAGGGACAAAATGCAAGGAGATTCAAAAAATTGTATGCTGACAAGGAAAATATCTTTGTTCCTGATGTTTTCTGGGACTATACAAGTGCTAAAGTATTAACAATGGAATGGGTTGATGGAGTAAAACTAAATGAGCAAGAAGCAATTGAGAGACAGGGATTAAAAGTCTTGGATCTGGTAAATGCTGGCATACAATGCAGTCTCAGACAGTTACTCGAGTATGGATATTTTCATGCAGATCCTCATCCTGGGAATCTCTTGGCAACACCTGAGGGAAAACTTGCTTTTCTTGATTTTGGCATGATGAGTGAGACTCCAGAAGAAGCAAGATATGCCATAATTGGCCATGTTGTTCACTTGGTTAACCGAGACTATGAGGCCATGGCTCGTGACTACTATGATCTTGATTTTTTATCAAGGGATGTTGACGTATCTCCAATTGTGCCAGCACTTAGAAACTTTTTTGATGATGCACTTAATTATACTGTGAGTGAGCTCAACTTCAAGACACTAGTAGATGGTCTGGGAAATGTTTTGTATCAGTATCCATTTAATGGTGAGTTAGACTATGCTTTGGTGACTTGGCATTTCGGATAATTTCTTTTCCTATATTAGACTAGTGACTTAAAAATATTTACTGCTTATTCCTAAATCATAACTTTCTCTCTGACTCTGTTTTGTTGACTTTTGTCTTTCTGATCTTCTCCTCTTCTGTTGACAGTTCCAGCATACTACGCATTAATATTAAGGTCTCTCACTGTTTTAGAAGGTTTAGCATTGTATGCTGATCCCAATTTTAAGGTACTTGCTGCATCATACCCATATTTTGCTAAAAGGCTCCTAACAGATCCAAATCCATATCTAAGAGATGCTCTTATTGAGTTGCTTTTCAAGGATGGGAAGTTCAGGTTTGAAATCTGCACTGTCTTAAATCCATTGTTATTTGAACTTGGTGCTGTTGAATAATTTAAATTAAGTTCAATTGAATATTCATTAATCTGGTCCAGTGCAGATGGAATAGACTTGAAAACCTGCTAACCCAGGGTAGAAAGGATAGAGATTTCTCTGCTAAAGAGGCATTACAACCTGTCCTGAAGGTATTATTGAGTAAAGATGGTGAAGAGCTGAGGAATCTAGTTATTAAAGAGGCTGCTCGAGTATCTGAAGCTTTTACCCTCGGCACAATGTCAGAAACATACCAATATATTCCGGGCTTTGTTAGGACCCTTGTTTTCAATGGAAATGCAAATGGCCCCTTTAAGATGTCAGAAACTGAAATGCAAAGCATGATAGAGCTTAGAGATCAAGTTCTTAGAATATGGGGACTTCTTCAATCCTCTCATGATTTTGATCCAGCTATTTTGCTGCCAATACTACAGGTTAGTGCTATCATTTGCAATTGCAGCCTCATTTTAATCTGAAAACTATTCTTTCAAGTGCGTCTTTTGCCTTAATTTATATTAGTTACCACTTAGATGTGTAACTGGAAAAATACTTCATTATCATGTGTTGGGCATATTTAAGCATAAATACATTAATTAGAAGATATACTGCAAAAGTTCAAAATTGGTGATTATTGTTTATGATATATATTCTTTTAACAGAGCATTTTGTAAATATCATTGCATACTAAATCAAAAGGGAGTTTGTGTAACATTTCTATCTTGGATCATCTAAAGTTGTTAAAAGACATTCCATGCAACCAAAATATAGCAAGCAATTACTGTAGTCGCCAATCTAACATTAAAACACAGGAAATTATATTAAGAGGTAACATGATCTTGAAAAGTGAGCTGTATAGTTTTATAAAAGACAGTTAACTTAAATTTTCATTAATATGTTACTTTCTTTAAAGTATTTAGTGGGATTGGATTGAAATGTTTTCAGCCTTATATAAAGACTTTCTATTCAAAATTGTAATTGTTTTAAATATGGTCAGGTCCTTGAGCAACCTGAGGCACGCAGACTTGGGGGGCGTGTTGTTGGTGGAATCACTCAACGTCTTGCAGCACGCTTTCTTCAGCAAATACTCAGAGTTCCGTCAACAGTTTCAGAATAGATTTTGCAGCACTGTAAATGCTAGGTAAGGCATGCATATTATACATTTTCCCTCCCCATGAAGTTTTAATTACTTTTGCGGTGCTCTTATTCAGCATCTAATAACTGGTTTCATTGTCAGTGTTATGTGACAGTATAGTCATTCTTATTGATTGACTGGACCATATGTGTCACACAATGATTTTCTGTCCTTGCTTCTGCTAATATTTTTGGCTTCTTTCTTTATCTGTCAGGTTATTGTGGACAGGGAAGATAGGAGTTGCATTCCTAACACAAGAAAATATAGAAGTGAGATATTGATTCTTGGGAAAATTGTTTGATTTCTGTTGTGTTTCTTATCGTCCAATTTTGTCCAAAAAATTGTATATATGATGTGCTCATCATTATTGATATTGTCTCATCATGATCACAATCAAGAGATCGTAATATTATTATAATAACAATTGGCATACCATTACTCATAAGATGCACATGTTGGAGTTTATTTTTTGATATGGCACACTCCTATTTCTCTTGGATGTATTGATGATCCTGGAATCGTTTTAGAGAGCTTTTAAGTTTTGAAATTGTGACTGTTATGACCCAGTGGTTTGTGGAGGAATATCGGTACAACGATAAAAAAAGTGTAATAATAACCGTTGATTCAAATCAATTAGAATAACAAAAAATTATTGTTATATCAAGCCTGAGATGTGGTCTTTTGTGTAGACTAAACCACAAAAAGGGGAATTTGCAAAAAGACTCAAGCTAAGTAACTTACATCAATGATATAATAGAAGAGTAATTAATATTGATGTTAGCTGTATGTTTTCAAAGTGCACTTCTTACTCAACAAGTATGGATCATACTTTCTGTAACTTGCCCATGTTATAGTCTGTGCGAATGAGTAGTCATTATCCAATCAGCAGGTAATAGTTAGTATCTTTTTTTACCACTCTGTAAGCATGGAAAGTACATAGATTCTGAAGTACTTTTGGTGTGTAAGTGTAGTGTCAGTTTCACCACAGAATATGATCAGGATCCAAACATTATTTGAATTCAACTGTACAATTTAAAGGTGGACTTAAAATAGGTATTTCGACCAAGAGTGTCTCTGGTTTCATTGATAACATAGTTATGTTTAATTTCAAAGTTAGAGGTTTTATTCGTTTTGTAATTTTCATTCATGAGATTTTATCTTTGAAAAATCTTTCGATAGGTTAAGAAAAAATAATATATAATATATATAAATTATTTTTTATTTCGACTGATAAATAATGTAAGACTTATTAGTTTATAGAAATAAATTTTAATATTTTAAAATTATTTATTAAATTTTGTTTAAAGTGATACTCGTATTAGTTTTTAGTTATTTTCAATTGAATTGTCTTGTCTCTTAATATTTGATTGAGTGAAAATAAAACAAGATTTTCTATTTAAGTAGACATAAGTTTTATTTTTATTTTTTATAATCAATTCACTTGAAAATTTATTTCTACTCTAATTTACTTCAAAATTTAAATTCCTTTTAATATCAAAATGATATGTAAAAAAGTCAAGATTATCTAAATTTGTAAAATTTCACTCAAATATATTGAGATATAAGTTTAGTGTTTTTTTCTTTATTTTCTTAATTAGATATAATGACTTACGAAAAGGAAAAAGTCATAAATTTTTTTAATTTGATTTATTATTATTAATAATGTCAATTTGGTCAACTTTTTTTAAAGTAAATTAATGTTGTCCAACATTAAGTTAATTAACAAAATATATAATAATATAATATAACATGATTATGTTTGTTTACGTGAGACTGGTATTGATGTGATGTTCACCTCAGACATCCATATTCCGTGATATGTAATTATATTTGTTGATATGAGATTAAAATGACTTTTGTGACATTTCTTACTATTTTGTGACAGAAGAAGAGCCAGAAGGCAATGGAATGATGGATTGTTCCAGCATATACTGCTTTTTTTTCTTCTTATAACCCATCATCGTGGCATTGCAAAGTGGCTTCTTACAACTATAGGGTCAAGGAAACTCAACTCAGAATAGGCCCAAATCATTTTTGAATCTAGGAAGTTTTTAATGGATACCCAACTCTTAATCATTTGCGTGTGGGTATTCAAGAATCCATGCAAGAGTGCGAAGAAAATTGAAAGAGTTGGTTGAATGGAGCATGAAGAGAAACAAAGTTGGAGGTGGCATGTGGGTCCTTCATGTGCTATATGCACCCCCCACTATTTTTTCCACTTTGCATTCTACATACACTACCTTTCACTACCTTAGACCATTAACTAGCATCGCAAACTACTATTGAAAGTTGTCACCTCCCGAGAGTTGCTAGAAAAAACTTCAGTCTTTATCGGCAGTGTCACCTTCGACACTCTGTCAATATTTGTCACGACTCCGTTCCTGCTCCGCTATTACTTTACACGACAGTACCTCACCACTGTCAACAATTTAACAGCAATAAAATCACCATCACAATAGTCACATATCTCGAACCACCACCATAATAGGAATAACCTTCACGAGTACATCCCGTTAAGTTTTTTTTACATAGATTATTATGGATTCAATATAAAAAATATTCACTTTATATTATGCGTGATTCTACATCAATTTACATCAAATGACTGATATGAAATTAAAAGTGTTTTCCCTTATTACTGAAGTTATCTCAAAAGCATTTACTGATATGTCTCTGTCATGGTAGAGATACTCATTTAATGGCTATAGCAATGTGCATGTCGACATAACACATCTCATCAATGTCTCTACGTATTCATTCATATCAAATACAAGTATTTACATCAGTTGTATTGTAGTTTTGGAGAACTGAACTGGTCCTACAAAATTGAGCCTTTTTCATAACCCTTTTCAGGAAGAATTATGTTGTTTATAGTTAAATAATCGGATAGAGTACAAACTAATTAATAGAAAAAGATATTAAGCAGGAGACAAAATGAGAAAGCATCTTCTGTTAGTCTTAACTATGAACTGGTTATTCATAAGACAGATTTGGACATTGTTGCTAATTTCATTCCTCATGTCTCTGCAACTCTAATTAATACCAGAAAATGAGTGTACTCTCCAAGTTTTGACCACAAAGTGATGAAAGAACAAAATTTAATGCAACACCACCGTCACCACCTCTTTCTCTTTCTTTCCCCCACACTAAAATACTAATTCAAAATATAAAGAATATTGAAATAAATTTTGCTTCTTTAAATAATTTTTTTACACACATTATCTTATTCATTTCTTACATGTATGAAGACTCGGTTTATCCACATATTGTATATTGGGTGTTGTTGATTATCTAATACTGGAATTTTTATTAGTTTCTTACAATAAAATTTATCTATTTTCACTATAAGAAAAAACGTTATTAGCGACCAAAAAATCGGTCGCTAATGGCCAAAATTCGATCGTTATCCTGTTAGCGACCGAAATGGTTGGTCGCAAAAGGGTAAGTCGCTAATTTGTTAGCGATCGATTTACATTTCGATCGCTAAATAACGATCAGATGAGGTGGTCGCTAAAGTGGTTGCTAAATAATTTGGTCACTTATTCATTGAAGACCAAAATAGCGACCAAAATTAATATAATAAATCGATCGCTAAATCCAGTGGTAATGTTTTAAAAAATAACGACCGATATATTCGATCGCTAATATATTAATATAATTATTTAAATAAAAATTAAAATCGGTCACTAAATCGATCGCTAAATTGGAGACAAAGTTAACAATAATAGCGACGGATATAATCGATCGCTAATATATTAATTGAATTATTTAACTAATAATTTAAATCGGTTGCTAAATCGGTCGCTAAATTTGAATTGTATATTATAATAAATTTGTAACAACCAAAAATTCGGTCGCTAATCTAACCAAATCTGAAAATTTTCGTTTAAAATTTTGTATATCCAATTTGACAAAATTTGTACCTGCTTAATTCATCCAAACATAACACAAATGAAAACTTAAGAACTAAAGTCAAATTATTCAAATCATAAAATTTGTACCTGTTTAATTCATCCAAACATAACACAAATGAAAACTTAAGAACTAAAGTCAAATTTTGTATATCCAATTTTACAAAATTTGTACCTGCTTAATTCATCCAAACATAACACAAATGAAACTTAAGAACTTAATAACTAATCAAGATTCAAAGTCTTAATATCATAAAATTGAAAATTAGTCCTCCGGTATATTGTCGGTGTCATGTTGACTTGTAGTAGGATGACTATTCATTTGAATATGTTGTAAAATAAGCTTCATCTCGCTCATCTTGTTGGCGTTGGTTGTTCCTCAACTCCTGCATCTCTTCTTCAAGTGTCTTCTCCTTATTATGCTTTGCCACCAATTCGAGCATTTAACTTTTCAATAGTCTCACGCATTTGTTCAATTTGATGAAGTACTGGAGTTTGAGTAATAGAAGATTGAGAACCTGATGTAGTAGTGAACTTTTTGCTCAATGTACCAAGTCCATACACATTTCCTTTTTTATTTTCACCTCCAACAACTGAAATGTATATTTGATTATCATCAACAGAGACAATAGGAGACTCTTGTGAAGATGAGCCTTCACGCAAGTTATGTTGATGGACTTCTTCTCTCGTGCTGCATATATTGTTCCTAAAAATGAAGTGAAATATAATTATTATGAAGAAAACATATATTGAATAATAAACTATAACTTAGATGTTAAACATACAACAAGATAACGAGTTTTTTCATTGACCCATTGTCCAGTCTTTAATTTCTTTGTCCTCTCAACAACCTCCTAAACGGTTGGTTCCGTTGAAACTCCGTAGTCTACACATTAAAATGAGACAAAATTCATTACCTAAAGTGTAATATATTGTATTAAATTACTTATATAAAAATATAATAAACTTACCATCTTCTCAAAGTGAGTTGCAGTAGATATGGAACCCCCACGATGAGTCGAGGCACCCTTATCAACGACTTCGATTAGCCTTGGCAATGACACTCTTGTT